ACTGTAGTTTAAAATGAAGATGACTCCTGTCCTTTATTTATTTTCTCCATTTGAAAACATTAGACCTTCTACATTTATTTTGCTTATTGTTAATATTAGTGTTGCTGCTGATGCTTTAAATAAAATGTTTTTTTATTGTCGTAATGTGAAGATTAAATTTAACATGAAAGACTGCTAATTTTCAACACTTTTTTTAAGATGACTGAAAGGAGGAAAAACCAAAGTGAAGTATGGACTTACTTCACTCAGTCATTTATTTACTTTATAACAGTAAATAAATATCGGTTCTGCATATCGGTTATCGGGCACATAAACATGCAAATAATCGGTATCGGTATCGGTTATAAAATATCAATATCGGTCGATCACTACTCATAACCCATCATTACAGACCTGCATCATGTCCAGTGAATGAATCCTATGCTCGTGTTGAGCTGCTGATTCCAAAAAGTGTGTCTGTTTTGCTCTTTCACGTCACACTTTCTCACTAAATATGTGCATTTTGTAGCTTCTTTGCTTTTAATAACCTGTTGTGCGGTGAAGAAGTCTTACATTTTCCGTTAATCAGCAGAAAAATATACATAAACACATGATTCCTGTCTGAATCTGAGCTGCTTTATTAACTATTTGATCATTTCTCAGCCCATTTTCACATTATTTGACGCCTAATCCTGATTTTAAGATTCAGATTTATGGCCAGAAACAGAAGAAAATGCAAACATGAGTCTGATGCTTTCAATTTTCAATTAGAAATTGCTAGTAATTGATTACAAAGAAACATTGAATCATATGAAAATTTAAGTAGAAAAACTCAAAAAGTATTTACTTGTAAAATGTTTTCTAGTAATCTTTTTTTTAATTAGCTTGTATTGATTCTTTTATTTACATCTTTTTACAATGTATAGTTTTTATTCATTTTAATTTGATTTAATTTTAATTTTATTTTATTCATTATTTTTTTCTGTTTATTTATTTTTATTTATTTTATTACTTCAAGTTAAAACAATGTTATTTTACTATCGATGAGATACTATTATAGTTTTTATTAATGTTTTGAATTAGATTTTATTTTTATATTATATGCTTTCCTGAAAATTTTAACGTTTAAGTATTTTTGTTGTGCGTTTTTATTATTTTTATTATTTTTTGTTGTTTTTAAAATGTCTATATTATTTTTACTCATTTTTATTTTAGTTTTTGTTATTTTATTACATGAAGTTAAACTAAATGAAGATGAGAAATGTTGCCTTGGAAACTAGCTGAAATAAAATAAGCTTAATATTTTTATATTAAACTTTTATAGTTTTATATTTTGTTTTATTTCAGTTACGTATATTTTATTTCAAGCAACGATAATGCTTTAATGGTTTTAGTTTTTTTGAGTTAAACTAAATGAAAATGAGAAATTAAATAAGATAAAATATAGTTTTAAAAAAATATATTTAAGTAAGTAACAAAGATGTTTTTAATTGTCTTAGTTTTAGTTATTTATAAAATTGTTCTTTGACATTAAATGGAGTATTTGAACTTTTTATTTATTTTATTTTTTTATTTAAATAATTTTCTTTGTTTCTACATATTTTTCCACTTTGCAGATTGTAAGTTAAATTATACATTTTGAATACTACTTTTTGTTATTAAAACCCAAACTTTTGACATTTGACTGCTTTTGTTAGTTTGATAAGTATATATTTATATTTTATATTTTTCATGTTTCTCAGTGCTTGCTGTTCTAAATTAAAAAATAGTCTTTCATTAAAATACAATAACTTGCTCCAGCAGTGAAACGACTTTCTTTTCTTGAGCAGAACAGAAGATTTTTAGCTGAAACTGTGATCCTTGACGATCCATAAAGTGCAAGTCAATGGCTGCCGGCACTTTGAGAGTCCACAAAAAAGCACATCAGGAAACACAGAATGAATCCCCGTGGCTCCTGACGATATATTGAGATCTTATGAAGCGAAACAATCAGTCTGTGCAAGAAACTGAACGTTATTTACAGCATTATTACCTGTAATCCAGAGCTTCAGGCAAACGGTTCAGTTTGTGAACGAATCATTCTTTTGAACCGGTTCTTTTTAGTGAACTAGATGAACCGGTTCATCAAATCGGACTGAAGCACCTGAATCAGTTCGCGGCTCGAGCAGCGCAGATCTACAAGTTACTCAATCCAAACTTACTTTCAGACGCCTGACAGTCACTCAATGAGCCGAAATAGCGGCGTATGTGATCCTCTGATGAATGAATCACGTCATTGCGTGATTACATAAATTAACTGAATCAGTTCACTGAATCAAATTGTCCGAAAGAGCCAATTCACGGAAAAGAATCGTATTCCCTGTTTGCCTGATGCTCTGGATTACAGTAATAACGTTATAAATAATATTCAGCTTCTTGCACAGACTGATCGTTTCGCTTCATAAGACCTCAATATATCGTCAGGAGCGACAATTATTAATTTTGTCTTGCCTGTATGTGCTTTTATTGACTCTCAGAGTGACGGCAGCCATTGACTTGCATTGTATGAATCACCAAGCATCACGGTTTCAGCTAAAAATCCTCTTTACTGTTCTACTGAAGAAAAACCCCACCTACATCTAGTTTTTCTGAAGCTGTAGACGTGTGTGTATGTGTGTGTGTGTGTGTGTGTGTTCAGGGAAGTTCACGTGCATCGAGGTGAAGTTCCAGCTGGAGCGGCAGATGGGATATTACCTGATCCAGATGTACATCCCCAGCCTCCTCATCGTCATCCTCTCCTGGGTCTCCTTCTGGATCCACATGGACGCGGCTCCGGCGCGGGTCGCGCTCGGCATCACCACCGTCCTCACCATGACCACACAGAGCTCCGGCTCACGAGCCTCGCTGCCCAAGGTCAGAGGTCAAAGGTCACGCCACTACAACACAGCACGGCATTTCATTATAAGGGTCAAAAACGAGGACATTTAGTGCAAAAAAACCCAGCAAAAAACCCTAAATATATCTCTGTATAATCAACCATTAATGAAATGTAAAAATTAGGCCGGGCAGATTCAGTGTTATTTTAGTATAGTTGATATACTATTATAATTTGTATCAATATATTTACTTATTTATATATATATATAATATTTATATGTTTTTTTCTTTAATGTTTGTTAGTTAAAATTTTTGTAATTTTGTTTTATCCATTTTTATTAGTTTTTAGGGACTTCTTTATATGTCTATTTAGATTTTTATTTTAGTTTTAGTAGTTTTAATACTTCAACAGACTTATCTCAGGTAGTTGCCAAAGTGACGTATTTTTAATTTTTTTAGTTTTTCACTTATTATTTATATTTATTTTATTTCAGCTCTATTTCAATTAATGACACATTATGTTTTTGTTATTTTTATTGGTTTTTATAATTTTTTAAAAATGTCTGCATAGTTTTTATTAATAATAGTTATTTTTAATATTAGTTATTTTTGTTTAAACTAAACAAAAATTTGAAATGTTGTCTTGGCAACTAGCTGAAATGAAATGAGTTTTTTTTTTTTGTGCTTTTCAAAAAAGTTCAGGAATTGCTGCATTATATGAAACAGCACTCTGCAGTTTGGAATGACATGAAGGTGAGAAAATGATTATTTTATTTTATGTTTCTGATATATATATCTCAGGTCATAATGTACGCGTGTGTTTGTTCACCCTCATAATGCGTGTGTTGTAGAGTCTGGCGAGTCTCTCGTCCTGAATGTCGCTGTTCTTTATGGCCTCGTGCAGGTTTTTGGCTGCTCTGCTGTAATCACCTCGAGCGCTGAAAACCCACTGGGGAGACAAACCACGCGACTGACAGACGGAGAAAGAGAGATGAGACACTCAGCTCAAACACTGGAGCTTACAGTTCAGTCCTCATATACCTGTGTGTGTGTGAGTGTGTGAGAGTGTGTGTGTGAGTGTGTCTCTGTGTGTGTGTGTGAGTGTGTGTGTGTCTCTGTGTGTGTGTTCAGGGAAGTTCACGTGCATCGAGGTGAAGTTCCTGCTGGAGCGGCAGATGGGATATTACCTGATCCAGATGTACATCCCCAGCCTCCTCATCGTCATCCTCTCCTGGGTTTCCTTCTGGATCCACATGGACGCGGCTCCGGCGCGGGTCGCGCTCGGCATCACCACCATCCTCACCATGACCACACAGAGCTCCGGCTCACGAGCCTCGCTGCCCAAGGTCAGAGGTCAAAGGTCACGCCACTACAACACAGCACGGCATTTCATTATAAGGGTCAAAAACGAGGACATTTAGTGCAAAAAAACCCAGCAAAAAACCCTAAATATATCTCTGTATAATCAACCATTAATGAAATGTAAAAATTAGGCCGGGCAGATTCAGTGTTATTTTAGTATAGTTGATATACTATTATAATTTGTATCAATATATTTACTTATTTATATATATATATAATATTTATATGTTTTTTTCTTTAATGTTTGTTAGTTAAAATTTTTGTAATTTTGTTTTATCCATTTTTATTAGTTTTTAGGGACTTCTTTATATGTCTATTTAGATTTTTATTTTAGTTTTAGTAGTTTTAATACTTCAACAGACTTATCTCAGGTAGTTGCCAAAGTGACGTATTTTTAATTTTTTTAGTTTTTCACTTATTATTTATATTTATTTTATTTCAGCTCTATTTCAATTAATGACACATTATGTTTTTGTTATTTTTATTGGTTTTTATAATTTTTTAAAAATGTCTGCATAGTTTTTATTAATAATAGTTATTTTTAATATTAGTTATTTTTGTTTAAACTAAACAAAAATTTGAAATGTTGTCTTGGCAACTAGCTGAAATAAAATTCGTTTTATTTTTTTGTGCTTTTCATTCCAAGTATCAATTTTATTTTATTTTTTTTTCTTTTATGGTTTTAGTTTTAGTTAAATAATAGCCCTTGGCATAGTATTCAGGTTTAATCTTTTTTTTTTATTTTACAATTATTTCTAATTTAGCAAATATGTCGAATAAATCGTTTTTCTCTGCAAACAATTTTTTCTGCAGTGTTTCATGTTAATTATGTTCATTTAATTAGTTTTTCTTTATTTTTTGAAAACTATTACAATGTGATTACAGAATCAACTTACTAAAGCATAAATCTATTTATTTTATAGATTTATTTTTAATCAAGTTCAAATAGTTTTTCTTTTTACAATTATTTCTAATTTAGTAAATATGTGAAATAAATCTAAATTTCATTGCAGTTTATGTCCTTTTTGTTCATGTTTTAACTATTTGTGGAAAACACTATGATTAGAGAATCAATAGGTTACAAAAGCATAAATCTGTTTATTTTACAGATTATTAATTTATCAAATACAAATTATTTATTAATTTTACAATTAATTATTTCTAATTATTTTAGTTTATTTTTCCACAAATAAAGAAACAGTTAAACATTAAAGGGTTGGTTAGAATTTTCATTTTTGGGTGAACTATCCCTTTAATAAAAACTGCAATGAAATTGATTTATTTTACATATTTGCTAAATTATAAAAAAAATGAACTTGATTTAAAAAATAAACTGTAAATGAAAAAACAGATTCATGGTTTAGTAACTTCTTGATTCTGTGTTTTCTTATAATAGGACTACGACTGAAAACAACAAAAGCTGAGAACACAATTATCATAATATAGCTTTATCATTATTATTTAGAAATCAAAGCGCTCATTACTAGACGGAGAATAATCCCATAATCCTGCAGGAGCTTCTAATGAAGGCTTTTCTCTCCACACGTGACTCGTTCAGTAGATCGCAGCAGATATAATGATTATCAGAAGCTAAAGTACATCAGATGTGTGAGTGAAAACAAGTGAAAATTCATGCTTTTTTAGGCTGTTTCGTTTTGATATACTGATTCGTAAATAAAGTTCAAACCGTTCATTGAATCACTGTCCATTTCAGTGAACCAAAACGGATCCAACGATTTATTTGTGTTTAAAATGTTCTTTGGACACCCTAAGTTACTATTTTAATATACTAAAATATTGCTAAAATCAAAAATAAAATATAATTATTAGAAAAAATTAATCCAATAATTATAAATCTGTCATCACCACAAATGGAGATGTTAATAAAAATGTAAAAAGAAAAAAGAAAATGATAATTAATTTTTGAATTTGATAAATATATTACATTTAGAAATAAAATGTACAAAATTAAAATGAATACATATAAATGACAATGAAAGTGGATGGTGATTTTTACTGTCAAGCTCCAATATTACCATAAAAAGCACAATTAAAAACATTATAAAAATAATCAAACTAGTGCATATGATTTGTGCATTATATTACAAGTCTTCTGTAGTTCCAAAGAAACAGTAACACATTGAATTAAACATGCAATTGTGTACAGTGTAAATTTACAGTGTAGTTAGTTCATGTTTGCTAATGCAATAATGTCATCAAATGTAAAGCATTACCATAAAATCAAACTTAAATATCAACCTGTTTAAATACAGCAACCCCCCCCCCCCGTTTTAAAAGACAAAAATCAGCAGATTATTGCAAAAGTGGAATTTAAAAAAATAAATCAAATTAAAGTATCAAAAAGTTATATGAGTTTAAATTTACTGTAAAGAAAATTCACTATACTAATTTTATTTTATATATATAGTAAATATGTTACATAACAGGTTTTACTCTAAAATTGGCATAAAATTAAAGCCTTATGTCGAAAGAAGTTATGTTCCAAATTTGAAGTTGATATGAAAAAAAAAAATTATTTAGGGCGTTATACCACAAACAGCCACCGGGTGTCATCCAAACTCCATTGATTTTTTTTTATGCATTTTTCTGTCACTAATGTCTAGATTTCTCTGTAAATATCACTAAATGTTACTCAAAATAACCACCAAATATGGAATCCTGAGACCTTTCCAATGACATGTTTTTGTCAAGATTATAAAAAAACCGTAATGCATTTTGTAATGTGACACTTGACACCGCCCACTAAGGGGGAGGAGACCGCCAAAAGATTTTAAAGTACCATTTCCATGGTAACGCAATGTCTGATGAATCTTGGGCTTCTGAGCTTTCAAATGATATATAATTTATGATGATTACTAAAAGATTTGATAGAGAAAAAGGACAACAACAAAAAAGAG